GCACCTGAGAAATGCCAGCTCTCTGCTCTTGCACAGATACTCGGCGTGTGGGAAGCCTCCTGAGGGAGCACCACACTGAAATGGTTCAGGGGAGGAGGGAAGAAATCCTGTCTATAAGAAGTTGCTCTGTCAGTCAGGTTTTTTTTATAAAGATATTAACTTTAAATAATTACCCAACCTGTCTGTAGTCAAGGACAAGCACAAATAAATTACTAACAGAGCCATTAATCTTTTCAAAGAATGATGCTGGCAGAGTGGCTTAGGGGGGCACGATTGCACTAGGAGGAGTTTTTCAAACGACTGTAACCATGCTTGTCACACCAGTGGAAGCTGACTGCAAGTTAAGTTCAGATGTCTGCTTTTGTTTTCATGTAATTTAGATCATCTAAAGTGTTGTTGTTGTTTTTTTTAATGCATTTCCCTCCTAAACGTTTCAAAAATTTAAACTAATTGCTGTGTGGTGTGCATAAGGATGTAGCCAAGGAGATGAACAAGGAGACTTCTGTATTATTAGCTAACTTCAATAATCAGCTAAATATACTTCAGCTATGTCACAGGTTTATTCCAAGGACCATCTAGAGAACAGCAGCAGTTTGTGCCTGTAAATGTTTGTGTTTGTGAAATGTTAATATGGTCTAAATAACTTGAAAAGAGAAAAAGCCCCTAAAATTTATAATTATCTGAATTTACTCTTATGAACTTATTCTCATCCCTACTTAGGGGTCCTGCTTCGGTGTTGAAATGATCTTCCATAGTCATGCACATATAGAAAGGGAATGTCAAATAAGATTAGCAATGTAAATCTCTGCTGCTTCGGAAGTTTTACCCCGCTGCCTGGTGACTTCCCAGCTGTTTCTGCAGCTGATGACCATTTCCATTGCTCTGCTACCCACAGAGCTGTCACACTGCTCTGCTGCAGCGTCTGACTTGGTCCAATTTGAGTTATGAATCTTGTTTCAAAAGATCTGATAACAGAAATGAACAACAGTAACTGTAATGGACTTAACATTTATTACCGTGAGCTCTTGGGCTCAATTTGCCTTTCTTCTGAGAGGAGTTTGTGGGATTGTATTACTTAGGATTTGTTATAGAATAGATTTAAAAGGGATTTTTATTGGGAGTCATGTTGCCACTGTCAGTTTACAGCTAGAAAAACTGAGGCACAGGGCAATGAAGTAATTTGCTCCAAGGAACTGGAGATGCAGAAGAGACAAAACCCCAAGTACTCTGAGTTGTGATTCACACAGCTGAAATGAACAATAAGAATGAAGTTAAATGAAATTTTTAACTACATGTGAATTATCTTTTTCTGCCTGGCTCTTTCTGGGGGACTTGCCTGGCAACACTCATTGAGATGTCACGTCATCAAGGAAAATGTTACATGGGGCCAGAAATCAGTGGCTGCTGCCAAGAAAAAGGCAGAAACCACTAGGAGAGCCAGAGGGAGAACATCTCCCGCTTCAGTTAGGCTGGGAGCAGGACTCAGCGTACGCCGGGAGCTTTTCCATGCAGGTCTGCTCTTAAAGAGCTGAAAAATATCCAACAACTTTTCTTGTAGGAAACTTCCATGCTAGAATATTGTCACCTCCAACTCATCATTCAGCAACATCTGACACTTCAAAGCCTGGAGCAGGTCTTACTGCTGCATGACTCTGCCTTGAATTGGCACATGAGACATCTTAAGCAGTCCTCCTCTGCTTGCTGAGCCAAGGGATTTGTTACGATGGACTTCTCATGGACCTGGTAGGTGTGCATGCTGATAGATTTCATGTCTTTTCCATAAATCTCAGCTTACACTTACTAGCGGGTAAGACATTTCTTTCCTGTTTATCCAGTGTTAGCAACAGGTTGCCACAGAAAGATTCCTCCTCCAAGTCAAAGTAGCTCCTTAAGATGGCACTTCTAGTATGATTAGTGAAAGGATGCTGCTGTTGCCGGGTATCTTTGCCTAAATTTCTTACCCTGAAACTTGAACCAAGTCACCTGTTGGCGTAAGTCAGAAGTGACTTTGCTGGCAATGAGGATCTAGTGCCCTATTTTCTAGGGCTGAATACCTTTACTCACCCTTCAAATAGGTCCTGTTGTTTATTTAACTTATGATATTTCAACAGAGGTTTGTTTATTTGTTTTATATCAGTGCTTGTCTGCTTCCATCCTGTTGCAGACAAGAACTGTACTACTCAGAAATCAACAGGTATTTTGCCATTGACTTAATTTTGGTAGTTTAGGAGATTTAAAAAAAAATATTCATTTTGACTGTATAAATGTATCTTCTTTCTACATCAGTCTCTGTACAGGATGTCTAAAAAAATCAGTGCTCATTGGGGATGTATCTGAAGCAGACAGACAAGGGCTTTAGAGACAGGAGTAAATATACTTACACTGAATGTTACAGTTTTATCAGAATAATCATGTTTATTATGAGTCCATTCCAAAGCCTTTTCAAGCTATTGGGAAGTTTCATTATTTCTGTGACTGTTAGAGAATATTTGGACTTTTGGATAGTTATTAGAATATATTTGGAACTAAGAGATTTTATATGGTTAATTTTTTCCCTCCCTCAAGTTTAATAATAAAATGTTGAACAAATTGAATATGGCTAATGGTAAGATGAAAAAAAAAGGTGACATTTGGGGACCACATTCTCCCATAGTGCTGAACTTCTGTAACATTTTGTGAAGAAATAATGCAGCAACGGAATGGCACCAGTGTGAGTCTCACTGTCACATAAGTCATTAATAAAAATGCAGAACTTGGGCTCAAATCCATTTGGGGACAGATGGATGGCACTTTAGAGCAACTCCATGGCCTTCTTGGGCTCTCACAACTCATAAAAGGTGCTTAATCATGATTTATTGTGATTTGAAGGGCAAAGCAACAGAACCTAGGAGAACCTAAGATATGTAAGGCAGATATATTTGCTTTATCTGATAAACCCTGATCACATCCCCTTCCTGCCCTTAGGGTTACCAAGTACCTTCACAGAAACACACAGAACCATGGAATGGTTGTGGTTGGAAGGGACCTGTGGAGGTCATCTGGTCCACTCCCCATCCCTCTCAAGCAGGGTCACCTACAGAAGTCTGCCCAGAACTGTCCAGAGAGGTTTTGAATATCAGCATAGATGGAGACTCCAAAACTTCGCTGGGCAACCTGTTCCAGTGCTCAGTCACCCTCAAAGGAAAAATGGTTTCCTGGTGTTCAGAGGGACCCTCCAGTGTTTCAGTTTCTGCCTTTTGCTTCTTGTGTTGTCAGGAGTTGTGCTCAGTGTGTGCTATGTTGTGTTGTGCTCAGCATCATCGTGAGGGAGGGAGATGCTTCTCTGTCTTGTAGCTGCTGAGCCCCTTGCAGGATTGAACCCTGGAGAGAGCTGTGTACAGCAAGATACAGTATTGAGCTGAGCGCTCTTCCTTAGGGCAGTAGAACAAAAACTTTGTCACGCCAGATCTGAACTTTCCTTCTCCCATTAGGGTTCAAGGAAACTCGGATACAAACTCTCTGACTAGGTACAGAGCATAGCCTCTTTTTGTGCTGGTTTAAAAATAGTGAAATCCTCTTTCTTGCGAAACACACGGCCGGTTGTGCGAGGTACTAAGATACAAAACCAAGGGCTCTCCACAATGGACGAATATATCTTAGCAACAAGGGTGGGAGTGGTGGGAAAGGAAAAGGAGAATACAAGTATCTGGCAATTAACTTCCTAGTCACAGATGTGGAGGTGATAAAAGTGATAAAAGCATTACTGCATTGCCAACGCTCTTCCTTGTTCTCTGAGCTGCATGTCATGCTGCTCCTAAGAGCAAAAGCTACGCAGCCCCTGCCAGAGGGTGGTGGAGGAGCCCTGGGAGCTACTGGCAGCAGGAGAGCCTGGTGGTTTCCCAGTGTCCCAGACTTCGTTGTGTGTGGTGGGGTGCAGTGAGTGCACAGCCTGGTCCAGGGCAGCACAGCCACGGTAGCATTGTCAGAGGGTCACTGCAGGGTGGCCCCATGCCACCAGAGTCCCAGGGAGATGGCCAAGGGCTGCCATGGCAGCTGGAGTAGCACAGAGTCCCAGGGTGCCCTTGCCCTGCTCCGGTGTACTCCAGCTCCACAAGCTTATTTTGCCTCATAATGCAGATGCAGCCAGACTGTGTGTGCTGTCTGCAGGACTCAGAGTGTGAATACAATGTGGAGACAGGAGGACATCAACTGACAGTAACTAAGATGAGTGAATATGACCGTAAATCTCCCTCCCACAATACAACATGGATATGGTCTCATGGCGTTATTAAGAGACCTCTTACTTTTGCATTAAGCCAAATTAAAAGGCAAGCTGAAAGGCTGGTATTGATGTTGCTGTAACGGCAGGTTCACCAGCTTTCAGCTGATGTTAGCTGAGTGGAGGGAGCTGTCTTCATCCCCATTCCCCCCACATCCATATCTAGTTATGTCTATTTGAATTGTTTTGCTAAGTAGCTCTTGTGTTGATAAAGGGTTCAGTCCTGTTTTGTGCTGGGCCAGTTCTTGCCCATATTATTATGATGTACACTGGAGCAAATCTGTGTAATGTGTGTGTCTGGGTGTATATATAAAGAAACAGTGTGAAAAAATGTGTGAGCAAGAGTAGAATTTTTAACCAAAACAGCCCGTGAACTTCACCTCCTTGTCAGAAGACATAATACCACTGGAATCTAAGTCACATCCAAAAATACTGACTTTAGGGTGTAACTTAAGGTGGGATTTGGCTCACAGCACTTTAAGACTGGTGTCTTGGTCTGTGACCCTGTTCTTTCTAGCACTTATGCACACGCTGATGACTGCCATAAGAACTGATCCAGATCCTCCACAGTCAGTAGTGTTACAATTAAGCCTGTGCATAAAGCCCTGCAGGGTCAGGGTGTCTGCGTGTTTGCAGTCCTAAGCAGGATACTTCTGTGTCCCCTGTTTGTCACATAAGTTGTGCTTCTTATTTGAACTCATGCTCTTCTCTCCGCAGCGCAATGCGTGCTCAGCAGAGCCTGCTCTAGCCTAAGAACTGACAAAGTCAAGACAATCAAGATGACAAACGAACCTATTAAAGAGATCCTGGGTGCTCCAAAGCATCCTGATTCTGCAGCCACGGAGAAGAGTAATAACAATGACTGTGTGATAACCACCATCCCTCTCGTCAGCGAGTGCCAGCTGACTGCAGCTACAGGGGGAGCAGAGCTCTCCTGTTACCGCTGTACCATTCCCTTCGGCGTGGTTATCCTCATAGCTGGCATCGTGGTCACTGCTGTGGCCTACAGCTTCAATTCCCATGGATCCATCATCTCGGTGTTCGGATTAGTCCTCTTGTCATCGGGACTCCTTTTGCTGGCTTCTAGTGCAGTGTGCTGGAAAATCAGGCAACAGAACAAGAAAGCAAAGAGGCGGGAGAGCCAGACGGCGCTTGTGGCAAATCAGCGAACCTTGTTTGGTTAAAGACAACCAAGAGAAGGCTGGCCAGAAGACAGAACCTTTGTAAGTCAACTTGACTATTTATCAATGGGAGAGAGTGCAGGTTTTAATTTAACTTTGGAAATGAACTGAAATGAAAATGGAATGGATTAAGAAATACTCTTAAAAACTCTGCAAGTGCTCTTAATATTTTTCTTACTGCGGTCTTGATAGTGATTCCTTCCCAGACAGAGGAAAAAACATTTTTTCCTTCACAGAAAACCATGTCAACTTAACTGCAATCACCATGACTATGTTCTCCAACATGCTGGGAGATCATGTTGGGAAAGGAACTTGTGAGAACTAAGAAAATAATGGGAACTGATTTGAAACGCCAGAGATCTCCTTAAAATACACACTGTGACATTTGACCAAGGGAGAAGTCAGCATTTGAAGTGACTACAAGCTTATGGCCAGATTGGGACTTAAATCTTAGTTAAAAAAAAAAAGGCAAAAAAAAGCAATAGCAACAGAACACACTACAGATTGCCCTATAAGCTGATTCTTATATTTTATGTAACCTTCCCTCCCAATATCTGTGGTACTTCCCCCCTTTTTTAAACCAACTAATATTAATATTGTTTTACTATTGAATAGAAATAGGTAGAACTTTGTAATTATCTTGTCTAACCTAAGTAACGAGGTATGATTACAGCTTAAAACATGCGACTCTTTTTTGTAAATAGAAGTGGTCAGGTTTAGCACTTTTGATTATTTTGCTATAAAATTAAAAAGTAAATGTCATTAAAATAATGCTCAGTGCTGCTAGACCTTTAGAAATTTTTTTTTATTGCTATCAAGATAGCTTGTATCTTCAACTTTGACTGCTTTATGAATCTATTTTTGTAGAACAACTTCTGTGACAATAACTGAATGCCTGTACTGCTGATCTTTTCAAAAATTCCCCGTAGTCTATGGATTTTGGTTTGATAGCCCATCCCTCTTGCAGCTTGATTAACAACTCGATGATTGGAAAATCTTGACGGTCCATTCTGCAGACACTTCCTGGCATAGTCAGTTTTAGACACAGCTATTAATAATTGCTTGTGGAAGCAAAGTCATCTGTGTAGAAAGCTGAACGAGCTTTGGGATTACAAATCTTTACAAAAAGCAAGTGCCAGGTGTCCCCCATGCTTGCCTGATGTGTTTGATTCTGTAACTCTTCTATAACTCTGTTCTAGAGGTTTTCTAATTTTTCTCAGGTAATCAATAATTGCGGGACTGGTCCCAAACTCAAGGAATCCAGAACATTATTTCTCCATCTATATCTTGAAGGATAAATGCTGCTGAGCCAAGTCACAGAACTCTACCCCAGCAGGTGCGCGGGTGTCAGAAGGCAGAGGGGATGCACGGAGTCTTTCTCTTGTTTTTTTCCCCCTCTCTCTGTTTTTTTTCCCCTTGCTTTCTCCAGGCTCAGAAGGGCTGGATGTGATTTTCCCTTTCCACTGCTGCAGCAAGCGAGGCCTGTGCTCGTGTGCCTCCTCTTTGCCCTCTGGAGCCTCTGGCACCCAGGACGGCGGTGGCGAGGAGAGCCCCCGGCAGGTCGCCCCGAGCCCTGCGCTCCTCCCGCTGACCCCAGCCGGGCGTGCTGCCTCAGGTGCCGCCTTTGCCTCTGCCGGCCGTGGCTTAAGCTTGTTGCATCCATAACTTAGCCCCGAATTTGCAGAGTGCACTCCGTGTTTTAAATAGCGCGAGGCGTGTGTATGGAGGGCGTGTTTGGAGTCACTATTTGCGTTGCCACTCTCCGTGGTTACCAGACGCTATAATAGAATCACTTGCATCAGAGGAAAGCTGACAACACATTTTAGCACTTCCATGGCCCTAACTTAATCACGGCAGGAAGCTTTCCTGCTGCTAGGAGAACATGTTGCGTCACCAGAACATCTGACACCGGTGTCTAATGTCAATCACTTTGCTTAAGGTCATTAAAAATATTAGGGTGTCCCCTTACGATGTACAGGTTTTGCATGAGTGACAATTCAGGGGAAATGCATAGCATGATAAATAATGGAACAGGTGGACTAAAGTGGTGTCTTTCCTGTTTAAAAATGAGAAACGTGATTGACATTAGCAAAGCTGGATAAGCTAAATGGGGCTGTTTATTTTTTTTTCCCCTGGGAATACAATAGGTTTTTTGACTCCTTCCCCCTCCCCATTTCTTTTTCCTCAGTGGAATTTTGCGGGTGGCCGAGGAGAGAATTGCAGGGGCTGTAGAGATGCAGTGATTCCCACTGCACACGTGTAGCAGCTCAGCCCTGTTTTCCCTGGCTGAGCCCAGAGCAGAAGCAGGCTGGTGCTCTCCTCAGCAGTCTTTGCTGTGCATGGCTCCTCCCTTCACCCTCGCTTGATACCGGTGAGCTGGCATGCGGCGTGTGGGAGGGAAGTAGAGCTGCAAGGTGAGGCTCTGCCCCAAGTCAAAAGAAAGGCCAAACTCAGTGGAATGGAGGCAGTGGGCTTTGGGGAGCAGATTTTTTTCAGGAAAGATAAATAACAATGAGTAAGATTTGCTCTGCTGCTACTAGAGGAGATTTCTATTCCCTTATCTCTGCTGTCTTTTATATTTGCACTGCATGAACAAGGACACGGCAGAGTGCCTGCACCCCCCTCTGCCTGGCTCAGAGTGGGGCTTCCAGCGTTAAGCAGCTCATACTGGGTGACAGAGAGCACTGCAGTGACCCTGCACATGATCCCCCAGAGCAGCAACGCTTCAGATACACCACATGGTGTCCTGTCGTGCTGGCTAACAGACAGCCTGCAAGGCCTCCAGGTAACGTGGGGCTGCCAGAGCACACGCTGCTGAGCTCAGCAGCATCGGCTCCATCCTACTGAGACAAGGAACGCACACAAGCATCTTCCTATCAAGCGCTGGGTAAAAGTCCGTGCAGGAATTCGCTCTTGTTTGGCCTTTATTCAGAGAACTAAAGTTGTAACTTTACAGGAAGGAATTCCAGCACCTGGTCCTGGTGTCCCACAGGAACAGAGGTTGTTAACAGTTTAGTCAGACACCTCACGTTGTTGAAGATGGTTTCACATGTTTCATCACTAAATTGCCACATGACCTTAGAAGCTGGCGCAGACCTCTCCACCATGATTTGTGTGCACTGATTTATGAGACAGTCTGAGGTAGCAGTAGCATCTTTTCTGAATGATGAAAGATGACATTCAACAGAAGGTTTATAGTCTAAATTTCTTATTGCAAATCTACATACTACAGATATTTTCATTTTCATTACTAGCCTCTCTCTCCCTTCACCCTTTGTCCTGGCTCCACCACAGGAACAATATATTCTTTTTAGCCCTTAAAACCCGGTCATTCTGGGAGAGGTGCTACATGACTTCAGTGTGGCAGGCTTAAGGACTCATTTCTCCAGAAAACTGTGATATTGTTAGATCCAACATATTTTTTACAAGGACATATTCACAATGCTTTTACGAGGGACAACCACCTTGAACTGGTCAGCTACAAACAGCAAAATTTCTGCTTTGGCTTTAGAACCCTGTGACCTGATCTAGATTGATTTGGAGTTTCATGCCTGGAGGCTGGGTCATGCAACCACCAAGTCTTTGATGCAAAGCCATTTGGGGCTCGACTGTTGATGTTTGGTGTTTCTTGTGGGAACCTGAGATGCAGAAGTCAGCCTGGCGGATGCAACCCTGTGGAGATCACAATGACTTCCCAGTTCAGAAACACCTTCCCTTCTGGTGTGAAAAGGCTTTGAATGTGACAAATGGTATTTCGGTTCTGGGAGAGGTTGGGCGGGAGGTGATGCAAATTTTATTGTCACAATTGCTTGTCTCTCCCTTCCTGAAAGCTCTGGCAGCTCTGTGCAAGCAGAATTGCCCTCACAAGGATAGAAAATTATCTAATAGGGGAATTGCGCTGGTGCACCGGGCAAATGTTACAGGGATCTTAAATAATAATTTCAAAACCTAAGCACAGGAAATTGTGTCTGTAACTACACCCTGTATTGCTATTGTACACAAAGCTAGTTATAGCCTGGGACAGTATTTTAAAATAATAATCAGTTTGGTATGACAATGGTTAGTATTAGTTCAAGTCATAACGCCCGGTTTATGATTCCCCAGTCCCTTACCGTGTCTTGTTTTGTACGTGACTGGGGTGCTAATACCATCGTTTGCCAGATTTAGGGGAAAACAAAAAAAAAGAGAGAGAGAAAGGTTAGTTTCATGGGCTTGTGTCAAGAATTAAGTTTCTCTGCCTTGGACACGTGGGAGAGCTCCTGTTTCCAAACAACACATGTACAATATGACTGCAGCTCTACAAAACAGGAACCAGGCTCTGAGTGTGGAATGAAGAAAGGCCTGAGAGTCCATCAGGACCTGGGAGGCTCAGCCCAGGAACAAGCCATCTGGAATATCCCATATTCTTGCCTCAGCTTTGCTTGTCCAGAGTCAAAATCCGGCTACTGGTCCTTCAGTATCTGAGATGGAAGTTGTTGCATATTATTAGCAGGTTTCACCTGATTTGTTTTCACCATGGGACTCCAAATAAGAAAAGCAGGACAATATTGGCAGCCATCATTTTGCATATGTATTTCCAAGATCTCTGATGCCTTTAGGTTGTAGGATGTTTTAGCTATATCAGTATAAATCTGTGTCAATTACAAAGGGCTTTTATACATAAAAGTACATTAACATATTAAAAATTGCACTTTATGATGTGAAAATTTATATAAATCCTGGCAAAATTCTATATGTAGACTAAATCTTAAGGGCCAAACCGTATAGGAGAACAATGGTCTTAAACTGCAGAATCAACTTGAATTTTTGGCTTTTATTCAGGTTGTTGATGTCACTATTAACATGACAGAGGACCTAATCCTTCCTTTTGTGAGTAGCCAGTTGGAGTCCTATTGTCCTAATTCATGTATCCAGAAATTTGCATTTGTGAAAGCATGGCATTTTTTAAAAACACTCCTTATTTTTTTTGTTCACTTTCACTTCTTAACTCTTCTGTGCTTTCT